AGAGGAGGAGGAGAAGGAGAGGAGGAGGAGAAGGAGAGGAGGAGGAGAAGGAGAGGAGGAGGAGAGGGAGCTGCTCACCTTCCCTCCTGCTCACCTTCCCTCCTGCTGCTCACCTTCTCACCCTGTTCCTCACCTTCCCTCCTGCTCCACCATCCCATTTCCCACCCCAGTCCTCACCTTGTCCTCGTGCAGCTCATCCAGGCCTGCCTCCTGTGCCTCGTGCAGCACAATTCCTGCAGGCAGGCTCTCCTTGCCCCCTCCCGCTGCACGACGCTGGGGTTTGGGTTTCTGCTGTTGCTTCTTTGCTGCCTCTTCTTTTGTCTTGCCCTTCTTCCCTTTTTTCCCTTTGTCCTCCCTGTTGGAGCCTGCAGACTGTGGTGGCACAGGTGGTCAGGGCTGGTGACAGAGCCCCCACACCCCGGGGAGGGCACAGCTCCCCCTCACCCCCAGCAGCTTCATGATGAGCTCCCTGTCCTCCTCGTCCTGGTCCCTGTACTTCTCCTTCATCTTCTTCATTTTACTCTGCAGGAGGAAACACCAACAGCTTCAGAAATGACAAATCTCAGCAGAGAACTGCAGCCACAGATGCTCTTTCCTTCCCAGTATCCCAAACGTTCAGAGCAGGTCACCAGCAGCAAGGGGCTGGTTCCAGGGAGCTCTGTGCTCACCCCCAGCCCCATCTGAGACCCTCCAAGCACCACGGCTGTGTGGGACAGCTGGCATTGCTGTCCCTGTTTCCATGCCCACCTTCTGGCCCCGTTTGATGGGCTGAGGGGCTGGAGCTGCCTTGGGGCAGTTGGGAGCAGCCACAGGCTGGGTCTCTGTCTCTGCCTCCTTCTGCTTCTCCTCAGACAGCTCCAGGTTCTCAGAGTTGTTCTGCTGCTTCTTTTTCTTCATTTCCCTAAGGAGAACAATCCCAACACCCTCGTGTGTTGTGAGGAGAGAGGAGAGGCTGCTGCTCTCCTGAGCATTCCCACCCCTTCCCTGCCACAGGGACCCAGGGAACTGGGCACAGCCCCTCCTCAGAAACCCTCTCCAGCCCAGCAGCACCACTGTGCCAAAGCCAGAGCAGCAGCTCCCTGCAAATGCAGCATGGACAACGGGCAGGGACTGCAGTGGGTGCAGATGTGCCCAGGACATGGGGAGGGAATGGGGAGGAGGCAGCGACCCAGAGCAGCTGTGGCTGCCCCTGCACCCCTGGCAGTGCCCAAGGCCAGGCTGGATGGGCTGGGAGCAGCCTGGGACAGTGGGAGGTGTCCCTGCCATGGCAGGGGTGGCACTGGGTGGGATTTGAGGTCCCTTCCAAGCCAACCATGCTGGGATTGCCTGGAGCAGCCCTGGCTCTCACCTCCTCTCCTTGGCAGAGAGATGCCTGCGGCCCTGGGCCCTGCTGTCACCCTGAGGAGGCAAAGGCAGCTCAGGGCAGGTCCTGCCCAGCAGCTCCCACGGCTCTGGGCCACCCCCAGGAGCTGGGACCTTACCAAGCTGGGCTCCTCCTCTCTGGGCATGGTTTTCTGCAGGGATCTGTGGGGAGATGCAAAAGGAGCTCATCAGCAGCTGCAGGACAGCTCAGCATGGACACAGCCCAGGCTTCAGCAGCCTGGCTCTTTCAGCTTTCCAGAGCTTGGCAGTCCCAGCTTTGCAGGCTGGGAAAGGCAGGAACACTGGGTTCACTTCAGAAAACAATCTGAGCTCCCTGCCAGCTCCTCTCTCACACACAAGCACCAAACACAGCCTGGGCACCACGGGAGCCCTCGGGTGCAGCTTCCCATGAGCACCCAGCCAGTCCCTGCTCCCTGCTCCCTGCAAGGAGCCCCAGGGGCTGCAGGGAGCTGAGCCCCCCCACAGGCTGAGCAGAGCACAGGCAGCTCAGGGCTCAGCCTCCCAGCACTCCCACTGCTGAGCGTGGAAGGAAGGGATGGCAGCACATCCCAGCCCTGTCCTGGCAGTGTTCAGGACACCCCCAGGTGCCCCAGCTGCTGCTCCTCTCACCTCTGGGGCTGAAGGTGTGACAGGTCAATGGTGGTGTCTGGATAATTCACCTCTTCCTCCTTCACCTCCCTCTGGGGCTCTGGATGTTCCTCCTCTGAGTCTCCATCCTCCTCCTCGGAGTCAGCCTCTGGAGCAGGAGTGTTCCCTCCTCCCTGCTCACCCTGGCTGCTCTCAGCTGTGGCTTCCACATCTTCCAGGGCTTCCACATCCTCTGGAGCTTCCACATCCTCTGGAGCTTCCACATCCTCCGGAGCTTCCACATCCTCTGGAGCTTCCTCACCCTCAGGAGGTGCCTCAGCCTCAGCTTTTTCCTCCTCACTGCTGCTGTCTCCTCCATCTGGGGCCCCCAGGGCAGGAAAACACAC